TATCAAGATGTAGTAACCACCAGGACATCGCACAAAGTGAAGACTCCACAATCCTTGTTTTGCTGGAAACGTTGCAGGCCACAGCCGAAGATGGCTGCATTGACTCACTTGTGCACAAACATGATGGTTAAACAGTCTTGATCTTTCAGCAAAAATTACACCAGATGTAACTGAAGTTTAATTTTTCCGTAAGAGCTTCACGGACCCTAATTACATGTTTGTTTTCTGTGTCAGCACGCAATTATAGAAAAAGCAAACACAGAACTTGAGTTGATGTGCCTGTAACTAGCAAAAGTTACAAGAGTAAACTTTTAATTGTATAAATTTGTATATAGTGTGGGAGTTATTTAGAACTCCCAAAGGGGGAATTGGAAGAATACAAATTTGTCTCCAATGGTATGAAACCTGAAAGTTGATTTGAAAGTTGAAACCTGAAGATGATTATTGAGTCTCCAGCGAGAGTCTCCTTTCCCGATAGTCCTGTTTTTGATTGGATTAGCTATAAGGGAGACTTCCACCTTTTGTCTTAAATGGCTCTGGGATGGCTCTTTGGAACCAGAGTTCCTGCCACTATCAGCATTTGAATAGTTATTCCGATTCAATCGGATTGGTAATGGCCTCAGAGTAGGGTGTGTTCCTAATTCATTTGCATGCTTTTGTTTCAGTTTCTCCCCCCTCAATGTAAACTCCTCACCTCTAAATGTATAAATTGTAAGGGAATGTTTTCCCTAGTTAGACTATCCTTGAGATGACTACAGCTATGCAATAAAGAACGTCTGCATGAAAGATACCTCAAGAGTCTCCTGGTCTGTTGCGTGGAAGAATAAAAACTTCACTACAACTCTCTCTTCAGCCACCTGACAGGTTGATGGCTAGTGGATGGTGCTGCATCCTGGACTGGTTGCTGGCTGATGGATGATGCTGCCTCCTGGTCTCCCGGCATCTTATTGATGAAATCTTCCAAGATCTGGAGTTCATAATTTAATTTAGAATGTTCAACAAGCTCATCAAGCTCATTAAGGACCTGTTTGAAATTGTAATTGTCACTCATGATGAACAAGGACAAACAAGACAACAACAAAGGGAAAGGGGGGAAGAGCAAAAGAGCAAGAACAACAGAGAACCAGACCAAACAATTAACTAGACAAACGTGGCTCTTAAAAGTGCCTTTGTTTTTGCTTTGTAACGAAGCTGAGGTTTTGAAGTAAATGATGAAGGGACTAGGGAACCTGTTAAGAGAAGGGAAAGATAATAAATTTTAGATTTGAAGATCATACATACAACTACATAAATACTAAATAACTGAAAGGTTTAATAACTTGAGAAATGTTGGTCTAGTTTGCCCATGCTTTGGGCTGTGGTGGGGAGGTCTGTGGGTGTGTACAGTAATATTAGGCCAGAATACTGTAGGGCTGGTTGTTGCCTGCAAACTCACAATACAATAACTCACTAGTTATGGACTGATCTTGACACTCATGTCTGATATTGATACCAACCATTCAAAATGCCAGTTTGGCTGATAATCAGTGCCATTTTTAATCTGCTTATGTTATTAATTATACTTGCATTAACAAGGAAACACATTTCTTTCACATTAACTTTTTCTCTGTGATCATTTTAATCAAAAAGTTCCCTCAGCAGTCATAGAAGTTTTTAACACTAGCTTTTAATTAAAACTGATTTAATTTGCTAATGTCCTTTTTTATTTTCATGTCTATGCTTTCATAGCATAGATGTAACCCCTCACACCCGGGTCCAACTCGACCCGCTTCGAGCGGGCCTCGAACCCGGGTCTCCGGCATGAGAGTCAGGCGCGCTAACAAGGAGGCTAAAGACTGCAGCCTCTAGCGTCTGTCGCTAGAGCGCCTATTGAGATCGGAGAGTGAGGTTTACTCGCACAGCAACTACTAGCTGGCATCCGTTACACTCACCCCCCTAAACCTCACTCTCATCCGGGTCACGGCACCAATGTAACCCCTCACACCCGGGTCCTACTCGCCCCGCTCCGAGCGGGCCTCGAACCCGGGTCTCCGGTGTGAGAGTCGGACGCTCTAGCAAAGAGGCTAAAGACTGCAGCCCCTAGCGTCTGTCGCTAGAGCGCCTATTGAGATCGGGGAGTGAGGTTTACTCGCACAGCAACTACTAGCTGGCCTCCGTTACATAGACACAGTTATAAGTTACACTGACTAGCATGTGTATAAATGGGCACAAAACACTGGGCAAAGAGCAACGACACACAACCACAAGAAGAATCCCAGCGCAGGCATACATTACTAGCCTGGCTGCGCCCTCCTACGCACTTCCGCTCAATTTCATTTTACTTCAGTACTACGTCTGGGACCGCTCCATATCCTTAGGTTTCCAGAAATCAATTTTTTGTAGGACCAATCAGCGAATAGAGGGAGTGGCTGAGAACGATGACGTTGATGTAGTGCGTCAGTTTGAGTTCAGTAATGGCAGCGGAGAAAGACGTGAGAAAAGCCAGTCGGTCCGTTGTTGGTAAAGAAACTGCCGAATATACAGAATTTAAAGCCGGATTGTTATCATCTCACCTCTTGTTGCACAACGGAGGACCAAGTGAAGGAGGCAGAAAGGTTGGAAGTTTGTGCTGGGCAGCTCGTGCACAATGACCGTGACATTTTGGACTTTAGCCTGGTGTTCGCGGTGTTCGGAAGCCCCGAGTCCTGGCTGCTAAACTATTGTTGAAGATCCGCTCAGGAGTCATGTCAGTCGCTCATATTTCCAACTGTAAATTTACTGATTCTTGTGATGAACATTTTGAGCCCCTTTGTGTACTCGTGCAGGAGGTTGGTGTGTCAGTTTTACATGTTGTAAATCATACAAATTGGTTGTGATAAAAAAAAAAAAAAATTGTCATAAATAAAAATTTGAAAACCCATACTTTGGAGACTATATTTGATTTTCAGTTTTAGATGTCAATGGTTAATTTGTTTTAATAAAAAAAAAAAAAAACTAAATGCCATATAAAAATGTACAAACACATACTTTGAAGACCATAATTAAGGTAATTAAGAAACAAAAATCTGTAATATGAAAAATTGTTGTTTATTACACATCTGCAGATAGAGACAGACTGACTGTAGCTGCTACAGCATTTGCGGCAGATCAGAAACGACCACAGCGGCGTATTTGTAATGATTAGACACAGCTTCGACCATTGACTGAATAATCACTGTCCTTCATGTCAAATATACATTTCGAATTAATAATTGTTCCTAGATTAACAAAACCTGCAGCTCTCGTTGACTGAAATCCTATTGTAAATTTAATCCTCTGATCATTCGGAGTTCGGACTTGTTGTTTCTTTTACTGTCTATGGTTGTTTCCAGCCGTTTCGGCGCATGACATACGTCACTCACGACTACACATTAGCGATTGGCTATGGCAGATCGTGAGTGACTCTGGGCAGAGCCAATAGATTTGAACTTTAATAGTGAACCCGCCTACAAGGAAGGAAACGTTTCTCAATTGAGGGAGGCCAGACACTATGTACAAATGAAATGTACTAGAGTCTGGTTGAACCAGGCTAATACATTACAGCTAACACGGTATGCCTCAGTGTGCAAATGTTACATTCCCCTATGATTGTACCTTACATGATAATATGCGACAAAAATGAACTTGAATTCAATTAAGCTAGCTAACTTTGCTAGCCTGCACATTTGGTGCAGAAAGCTATATTTTTTTATAATGTATTCTACATTACAAGGACACCTTACAAATCTAAAGTTTCTGAACACAATTTCTTGTCCTGATCCAACCGTTTTTGATAAGTAAATTAATAAGTAAATTAGTAAATTTGATAAGTAAATTGTATAAGTAATTAATGAACCTTTCTACTTACCGCGTGGAAAATCGCAATGGACCTTGGGATCTCCCAGTCGGTGACGTCAGCGTTATTAATTTAGAGGATTTAGTAAAAATAATAATTTTTAAAAACCGATGAATAGAACACAGTCGTAGCATATTCAAATCAACAAACCTCCGATAAAAATACGTTATCCAGCATGCTCTAGATAAAGCAGTGTCTTAATGAAAAGGAAACGTTTAAACTGCAGACTTGCACGCACATTGACTCTGTGCACGAGAAAAATGCTAACTTCCGCCTTGAGGGCGGATGTTGGGTACTTCGGTTCCGGTTGCCGTTGTCCTACATCAGTGGACAGGCTATCTAAAGCTTAGCTATCTAAATATATTTGTCTAAAACTATGTTCGTTTGTTCATTGTCAAGTCAACCAACACAGTTTTCACTCATATTTGGGTGGAGCCAGGCGCTGCTGCATTGTGAAAAGTAAACGATATTTTACATTTTGTCACCGCACCCAAGCAGTCGCTTTACAGAGTGGAGCGTTGCGTATCCATGACAACTAGAAGGAAGTTTTTAGGCTACTAATTATTTATTATATTATACCCTTTAACCAGGAGAAGCCCCTGGGGTTAGAACCTATTTTGCAAGGGAGACCTGTTTAGAAATATGTGTGAACAGCCGTGTTAAACAGCCTAACTTGATAACGAACGAACCAACGTCGGATACCTTTACTCCCTGTATGACATGTATAGTGGTTGTCAACACTGATCTATATGACATTCTATATAGATAGTGGTTGTCAACAACATAGCCTCTGAACATCATAAACAAAACAATGGCCAACACAAACTGTTCTGGAAAATGCACGTTCTAACGCATGATTTCGCATTTTATAATGTATAGAGAGATAACAGTTACCAAATCGCATAGCTTGAGCACGTAGCATGGCAACATTAATGTCCGAGTGACTCCACGTGTACCGCGTATGTACACGCCGTCAAATGTCCGAGCGAAACAAAACAAAATGTAGATCTACATCTGGGGAGCGATATTTTTTTTTTTCCTAGGATGGTAGGAGTGACGGGTAGGTTGGGGTTAAGGTAGGTCATATGCTATATACTATGCTACACTGTGTATAATATATATATATATATATATATATATATGTAGCGAGTGGGGTGTGTTCCATGAGAATTGCGCTTGATTGAATCAGGTGGGGGTTGTTTGGCGCTACACCTTTAAATCCAGCAAGCTGGCGTTTTTCTGATTTTGTGCTGTCACAGACTGTTGCTTCCTTGGGCTCTTGGCTGAGTGTCCGAGTTGACGTGAGTTCATGTTTAAATGTATTGTGAGATCAAACCTCGTTGGCATATGTGATTTTGATTCAGACGATTACATTGTTTCATAGCCTCATCTGGTGTTTGTGCGATTACCCAGTGCCGTGGGTGTTGCTAGTGTCCTGTCTTTGCGAGCCCTCATCGGCTGCGATTTGTGTTGGCGTGCTTCAACGAGGACGTAAGTCTCTTGTTTTTATTGAGCAGCGTTTGTCTCTCTGTTTTTAGGTACTTGCTGTAATGAGCTTTTATTGATTTAATGTTTTTGTTTTGTTTATTAGTTCCGGGTTTAGAGTGATAACTACAAGTTTGCCGAGTGCGTTTGTTGTGCTGAGAACGTAAGTTTATTGGCTTCCTTTCTCCTCACGTTTGTACATCTTCATGGAACGTTTATGTATGTAGTTTTGTTGATTTGCAATGTTTCTTTATTATAGTTTGGTTTGGGAATGTTCAAGTAAAAACCAGACGGAGTAAAGTGACTGCTACAGTATTATAAATAACCAAGCTTTTGGCTTTGATGCTGTGGTCTGTTCATACAGGTTAGTGTTTTAGGCTACTTTAGCCTCTTGCCCTGCTCTGATTGTTCAGCTTAACTTTTTACATCTTAAGTAATTCCCAGCCCACTGGTGCACAGGTTACAAATTAGGCATAGTTGTGATTGCCGACCTGTATAATTATGTAACATTGTAATTGTTCTTTGCAGGAGGAGCGACATATGCTGTCCTGGCCACTGTTTTTTCCTGTGCTCTTTTTTTAGGATTCAGCTCCGTGTGTGTGTGTGTGTGTGTGGTGTGTGTGTGTGTGTGTGTACGTGTACGTGGGAAGAACCGTCTATTGAGTTGCCTATGAGCCTCCCCCTGTATGTGTTGATGTATGTTGTGTGTTATGTAATGGTGTATTTTAGGCCATTGGGTTAGTGTAATATCCTGGGTAGGGGGGGATAACAATTTTGTTGTGTGGCCACTGGTTTGTCTAGTGTGAATTATTTTCTTTTTGGTTATATTTGTGCATGTGATTTTGTGACGTGCTTTATCAATTTTGAGTTTGCTGTATTTTGTTTTTGAGTTATTTGAACACTTTGATTTTTGGATTTTGTTGTCCCTGGCTCTGTTGCCCAGAGGCCTAATGTCCTTGGAATACTGTTTCATGTTGTGAGTCCATTGAGCTAAAGAAAAGGGGAAATAAATAAATTTTCTATTTTTATAATACTCCAGTCTCTCTCTCTCTCTCTTTGTATTTCCCTTTATTGGGATAGCCTGCTGGTAAATATTTGAAATTCTTACGGTCGCTTAGCCATGATTATTTGGTTACAATAGACCCCCCTGAGGTTACATATATATACAATAATAACGTTAAGTCAACGGTATTCATAAACACGCTGAAAAGAGATTATGCGTGTTGATAGCATGCCAAAAATACGTGATGCGTGTCATACATACGCAATTTCATGAGATCAGTCTGAGCATGGATGTTGTGACTTAACGTTCCCTTCAAAATGATGCAAATACTGAGAAATGTAATATTTAAACCCCTTCTCTCTTGCTCTGGGGAGCTGGAGGAAAATCATTAGCCAGTCGATGAACATAATCGACTGTAATATTCGGCAAATGTTAAGACATCTGGAGAAACATACATCCTCTACGTCGTCCATCAGGCAACCGGAAACTAGACACCCCATATCGGTTTCGCACTCGCAGCCGGAACTAGCATATGCTAACGTGCACATAGTCCAGTGGAGCGTTAAACTCACCTTTTAATTAAGTTTTACCTGCATTTGTGCGTTGCTTTTGTCAAACTCACCTCTGAATGCCGCTTTACCTGCGGGTATTGTTAAACTCACCGCTGAATGTGGTTGCACACCATAAGCGTTGTTAAACTCACCGCTGATGAACGCGCAAAACTTTTGAGGGCCCTTTGATATCTGATTGCGAGGGTTTTAAAACATCAAACACCAGTTGGAGGGCATTTGAATCGCCCTGGCATAGATTATTTTTTGTAGCGTATTCCTTTTTATTTTTATTTATTGTTGTCTCGATCCACAAGGCAGACAACGGGTTGCGGTGTGGTGATCGACCCAAGACGTCAAATTTCAACGCTGCTGAGTTCTATAGAAGTCTATTGGACTGCCCCGCACGTTGAAAAATGAAGCCGAAGGTATACCCCGTGTGTCAAAATTGTGACGCCAGGGTCCCTTGACCATGCGTCAGACATTTGACGAGTAGGGAGTGAGACCGTGTTGAAGGAACACTATATTGAGTCCAACATTTAGTTTAAATTGATAAAATTGTTCGATTTAGTGTCACGATCCACACACAGGAAACTGGGGTAAATCCAAAAGCAGTATTTTATTAAGTATAATCCAAATCCGAGTCAGCCAGGCAAGGGTCAATAATCAAAGCAGTCCAAAACAAGAAACAAACAAGCAGGAACTATGAATTAACATAGACATGAAGTGGTGTGACACAAAATACAACGACTCCGTACACATAATAACACATGCAGGGAATACATACACATCTCTAACAAGACTAACACAGAACAGCTGGGAACAATGATTACGGGGAACAGCTGAGTGCAATGATCAGTAAGTGACAGAACAGGATGATGGGAAATGCAGTTCCAGACACAGTGGGGAAGGAGGACATCTAGTGGACAAACAAGGGAACACATCCAGACACTGTGACATTTAGTCGCATTTCCGCAGTTTCCCCTATTAAATCCAGTCACGCAGCAGATCTTTTGCCACTCGGTCAGGCTGAGGGGGGTTGTTCCGGTGGAAAAGTGACGTCAATGCATTCCCTCTATAGAGAGCCTAAGTCCCTCCCCTTCCAGTCGACCACCATGGGACCTTATTTCGGAAAAATATTGAATGGTAGGCTAGTCAATGGCGAGAGACAAATATTTTGATCTGGTTTGAATTGTGCCCTGAATTACACATATGATGTTCGTCAATTTAAAAGAAACATTTTAAAGTAAAGAAAGTCGCAGTTTGATGTGAAACCGTTGAGGTATAAGACTGTGAAAATACGTAATTACAAAGACTACAAACCACAAAGGCGCACATTTTCTCTCAATGAATGAAGCTAACTTTACTGAGGCTGTCTGTCATTGTTTCTACAGTCTTACGTTATAATCGTAACGTTACGCCGTCCTGCCTGAGTGTTTTGTACCAGACTGCACACACACGAGCAACGGATCTCGTTTCGCTTCCCGGGAGATGTAGTTCACGGAGCGATTTTCACATAAAACTAAATGTTACTCTTCTGTTGTATGACAAACTGTGACGTTTTTGACTTTCAGAATTATCTTTTAAATTGACAAACATCATATGTGTAATTGAGGGCACAGTTCAGATGGAATAAAAAGATAAGTTGTCTCTCGCCATTGACTACCATTCATATTTTTTCCGAAATAAGGTCCCATGAGCCGGAAGCGGAGGGGCGGGACTTAGGCTCTCTATAAGAGCAGGAGCCAGGACGGGGGGTTGGTCCAGGGGCATTGATCGAAAAATGGCGGCAACTTCAGCAGGACGTGATCGAAGAAAGAGTAATCGACTGAAAGCGGGAGATTCAAAAAATGTTGGAAATGTTGTTTTAGGAGCGGTTGAGCACGACTGCTTCGTGAATGAATCAGACATAGGTGGGCAGAAATGGATTGTAGTGAAGGGTGTTACGTTTCGGCTCCAGGAAGTAACAAAATAAAGGGAACAGAGTCCAAAAAATATATTTAAACAAAATATATTTAATTAAGTCCAGGGGATAAATAATAAAGAAAAGAAGCTTTCAACAGTAAATAAACAAACAATAAAGAAATAACAATAGAAGGTCCAGCTCCTGATGGGAACAGCTACAGGATGGATCAGAGCTATCTTCCACAAAGGCCAGCCATCTTAAATAATAATTTCCAAATTGCAGACAGGTGTAGATCCTTATCTGGCAACCTATAAAAGAAAAGAAAGGACAGCAGAACAAATCCAAAACAAACCGTAACACCTCCCCCCTTAAAAAAGGGAGAGATTCTAATTAGAAACTCTACCTTTCACTATTTTCAACCCCAAAACACACATATGCTATGGGAAATGAACAATAAAAAACAACCTTACCGGAATTCGTATTGATCAATAACCATTATTACCTCCCCAAACTCTACACAACTCTTGGTTTCAAAACCAGCAATCTTCCGGCGCCTGGAAAAAGCACAATTAAGGAATTGAAAACCAATAAAAGGAAGGAGAGAGAGAGAGAAAACAAAAGGTTAAGAAACTTATTCTACACCACATGGGGCCCGGGACAAGGCGTCAGCTAAGATATTATCTACGCCTTTCACATGACTAATCTCCAAAGCATAAGGCTGTAAGAAAAGAGACCACCTAATAAGACGCTGATTAGGGTTCTGCAGAGAGTGAAGAAATGTAAGGGGGTTATGGTCTGTGTATACCACAGTTGGCATAGTCCCACAAGACACATACACCTCAAAATATTGCAGGGACCAAATCAACGCTAACGCCTCTTTCTCAATTGTAGAATAATTGATTTGATATGAATTGAATTTACGTGAAAAATAGCTGACAGGGCGATCTATACCATTTTCATCCGCCTGCAATAGAACAGCTCCAGCTCCAATCTGACTAGCATCCACCTGAAGTTTAAATGGTTTATCAAGTCGTGGAGCTGTCAGGACAGGGGGCGATGTGAGCAATCGTTTAACATTCTCAAAGGCGTCTTCACATTTTGGAGTCCACACAAATTTAGCCTTTGCTTGCAACAAATCTGTAAGCGGGGCAACAACAGAAGAAAAGTTTGGGCAAAAACTCCTGTAATACCCAGCCATTCCTAGAAATCTCATCAATTCCCGCTTAGTCTGAGGGCTAGGAAATTTGTCAATCGCCATGACCTTAGCGCGTACAGGTCGCACTTTGCCCATTCCAACAACTTTGCCCAGATAAGTCACAGTCGCCCTGGCAAACTCACACTTTGCCAGGTTGACTGTGAGTTTGGCATCAGATAAACGCTTAAACAGTGCACGAATTCGGATAAGATGTTGATCCCATGTGTCACTGTAGACAACAATGTCATCCAAATATACGGCACAACCCTCTAATCCAGCAGTCACTCTGTTCATTAAACGCTGAAATGTAGCTGGAGCATTTCTGAGACCAAAACTCATTACGGTGTAAGAATATAATCCAAAGGGAGTAATGAAAGAAGAAATTTCCTGTGCTCGAGCAGTCAAAGGCACTTGCCAGTAGCCTTTGAGCAAATCAAATTTACTGACATAGTTAGCTGATCCAACTTGGTCAACGCAGTCTTCCATTCTAGGCAATGGATAAGAGTCAGGTTTAGTTAGAGTATTTACTCGTCTATAATCAGTGCAAAAACGCTGAGTGCCATCTGGTTTTCCCACTAACAAACAAGGCGAAGCCCAATCTGAAAAGGAAGGCTTTGCTATGTTGTTTTCAAGCATGTAATTGACTTCAGCCTCCAATTTCTGACGTTTATCAAATGATACACGATAAAATCGTTGTCGGACAGGTTTAACGTCGCCTACATCAATATTGTGTTCAATCAAGTGCGAACGAGAAGGAGTATCTGAAAAGAGAACAGAGAATTCTGTTAGTATTGAATTTAACTCAGAGCGTTGTTTGCAAGATAAGTGTTTTACCCATCCTTCTAGATTAGCCAATGTCTCAGAGTTCTTTAGACGAGGTTGTAAAATGACATCATCAGGGGATTTCACATCCAGTGGTACATTACCTATTTGACTTGAAGTAGCTAACCCCACTGGTGAAGGAATGACTTCAGGAGCAGCATTACGAGAATAAAAGGGTTTTAACAAATTTACATGGCACAACTGGGTAGGTTTCCTGCGCTCGAGGAGTAGAAATAATATAATTTTGATCAGACACTTTTCGAAGCACAGTGTAGGGTCCTAAAAACTTTGCACAGAAAGGAGAATCCGGTAAAGGAAGTAAGGCCAACACCTGATCTCCTGCACTAAATATGCGAATCTCAGACTTGCGGTCAAACCAGCATTTCATCTTTTTCTGAGTTTTTTCCAATTTTTGTCTTGCCAATTCCCCAGCCAGAACTAGACGTCGACGAAAACCCTGTACATATTGAATTAGACTCTGTGGTGGCTCTTCCGGTAGAGCATTCTTACTCAATAGCGCCATAGGTCCCCGTACACAATGTTCAAAGACTAACTGATTTGGACTAAATCCTAAACTCTCCTGGATAACCTCCCGTGTGGCCAATAACAACCAAGGTAACCCTTCCTCCCAGTCGCCTTTCAACTCAGTGCAATATGCCCTCAACAAAGATTTTAACGTCTGGTGAAAACGTTCTAGGGCACCCTGACTTTCTGCATGGTACGCACTGGATTTATTGTGTCTTATGCCAAGCTGCCGCAGAATCTCTTGAAACATGTTAGATGTAAAGTTTGTCCCCTGATCACTCTGAACAACTTTTGGAATTCCAAAAATAGAAATGAACTGGGACAAAGCTTTTACAACTGACCGTGTGGTGATTGACCGCAAAGGATAAGCCGCAGGATAACGAGTGCTCTGGCACATCACTGTCAATAAGTAAACACTACCAGACTTTGAAGGTGGTAAAGGTCCAACACAATCAACTAGAAGATGCTGAAAAGGCTGTTCCATAACAGGTATGGGATACAAAGGCACAGGTTTTATGGTCTGATTTGGTTTCCCAGTTAGCTGACAGGTCGAACAAGTCTTAATATACTGTCTCACATCGCTCTTAATACGAGGCCAGTAAAAATACTGCAGCAAGTGTTGGTAGGTCTTATTTACACCCAAATGGCCAGACACCCCACCATGAGCAGAATCCAATACCGAATTTCGCAAAGAAACAGGCACCACTACCTGTATAATTGGTTCAGTCAAACCTCCCTCCGTGTTAGAAGTCCACTTCCGCAGTAGTACCCCGTTTTCAATGAAGTACCCATTAACGGAACTCTCTGCTTCATCAGGAGGTAAAGCAGCATCAAACAGGGGTTCAGAGATGAATCCTCTTCCTGAGCAGACACCCAGTCCTGACAGGGAATAGAAGGCAAAGCAAGGAGACCTGGCACTACCCTCTTAGTGGTTAACAAATCCTTCACATCACTTAGATTTGCATCCGCAGATTGTTTACGCCTTGCACGTGTGAGTGCACAAGACACAAATACCTCTGGATACTGCTGGGATATACCAGTGTCCCCAGATGGAACAGGACAAGTAGCAACAACAGGTGGAGGTGGAACATCACGCCACACACGGTCACCCGCCAGATTATTCCCCAAAATCACTGAAACTCCTTCCATTGGCAGTGAAGGACGGACTCCCATTACAACTGCTCCATTTACTAAATCAGATTGGAGAAACAGGTTATGCAGGGGTACGGACAATGTTTGCAATCCAATACCACGAATCAACACACTGTTTCCTGTACTCGAGTCCTGAGAAAAAGGAAGAACAGATTGCAAAATGAATGATTCTGATTCACCAGTGTCTCTGAGGATCTTAATAGGAACCTTCTCAGTACTTCCAAGCAATGACACAAAGCCCTCTGTAATGAAGGGAGCATAACCCTCATCTCCAACACTGCAAAGTACCACTGGTTTCTCCAGATCCTGTAAAATATTAAGACAGTCAGAATTATTATCTGTCTGAACAGATGAAACAGCAAGAGCGGGCTTGGGTTCAGATTTAACACGCATCAGTTTTCCCTTAAGCGCTAAACAATCCTTTTTCCAGTGTCCCTTTAAATGACAATAAGCACACCGGTCATTTTTATCAGCATAGCTTTTAAAATTCCTCTCAACCTTATTATCAGCCAGGGTATGATGGACCGTTACACTCTCTGTTGGACTATTATTGAACTTTGACCTACTTTTCCTGACTTCACATTTATGAGTGAGTGCATACTCATGAGTTAGGATGGCAGCCTCTTCCGCAGATGTAACATTTCGATCGGTCAAAAAGATGGAAACATGCTCAGACAAAGTACTTTTAAACTGTTCTAAAAGGAACAACTCAAGCAGATCTTCACGACTAGTTACACCTGAAGCAATACACCAGCGATCTAACTGGATTTTTAAGTCTCTCACAAACTCACAATATGTCTGTTCTGCAGGCTTTCGCATGTTTCTAAATTTCTGCCGATAGGCCTCTGGCACCAGCTCATAAGCTTTCAGTACAGCCTCCTTAACCTTATGATAGTTTTGACTATCAAGAACACTTAAAGAAGAATAAGCTTTTTGTGCCTTACCAGTTAACACGCACTGCAACATCAAAGTCTGTTCAGAATCTGGCCATTTCATAACGCCTGCCAAGCGTTCAAACAAACTGAAGAATGTGTCTACATCAGTTTCACTAAATTTGGGTATCAACTTAATATTATTTGCTACATCCAACCCTTTTCTGACAGAACCTGTTTGACCCTTAGCGCTGTCCTCCAGTTTACCCTCACCAATTAACTGAAACCGCATAGCCTCAACCTCCAATTTACGAATTTCAATTTCACGATTCAATTTCACCTTTTCTATCTCCAAAAGCATTAGTTCTTTTCGTTGCTTAAAAGAGAATGTGGAAGCATTGACTGAAGATTGTGCCACGCTGTCAATATCATCTTCATCAGAACCATCAGGCTTATCAGGATCAAAGACCTCTAATTTAACTAGAGCGGCTTTAACAATTAATGCAACAGACTCCTTTAACTTTCTTTCTTTGCTGGTTAAACAGATCTCATACTTAGCTGCCACCTCCAATAACTGTTCTTTTGTTAGTTGGTCAAACAATTCCTCACAAGGAGACTCAAAAAATAAATCTAGACCAGTAGCCATCATTTTAATCTATTCAGCAGAACTCGTAATCATTCGCTCTAATTTACAAACACCAACAAGTGATTATTCCCCCTAATCACTCTCCTCCCCCCTAAAATAACTCAACCCTAGTCTTCGTGCCTCCACCAAGAGTCGAGTATTTTTAAGCACTCAAATACCGTCAGATGTATAAACTCACGGACAAACCAGTGAGACATACAATCGCGGCAGCGCTCTCAACTCAGCGTCAGCACAAAAACAACAAACTAAAATAAAAAAGACCAACGCAATGCGTTGCTAAACCTACCGGGGAATATCACCATTAGTGCTACAAAACACAGAGTTCGCTGAAAAATTACCTTTCAGTAATATTAGATTTACCCAAAAGGAGTAAACACCCGCGACAAAATCCTGCCAGAGCTAATTTTTCCCTGTAGCCATAGCTTACTAACAAAGAGAAAAAAACGTTTTTACAAAGGGAAATCTTAAGAGAAATCAATACACTTACCATATGTAATACGGTCTACTTTCGTTCCATTTAATTTCTCCTCAACTGAGCACAACAATGACGAAAATCCACTGTTTAAACGACACAGAAAACTCTCGGCACATTTCCCATTAACAAACAAAACACTTCACTGTTTACTAGCGCCGCCAACACGCCAAGCAACAGGTGAATCAAATACGCTCCGCCTGTAAATTACTCTAAGACGGTAGCGAACATTTTACAAGTATATATTTTCCCTTATTACTTACATCAGGAGCTGGACCTTCCAATCAAAAAATTTGAGGACGAGCCCCCATTCTTATTACGTTCCCTCCAGGAAGTAACAAAATAAAGGGAAAGAGTCCAAAAATATATTTAAACAAAATATATTT